CCTCCCTAGAGCCTGTAGGCCACACTACTATAGGCTTAGAATCATGACACAGCTGGATCCTTTTGGGGCCAGGAATCACTAGTAAGTTGTCATTCATTGAGTGTAGTACTCTTGGGGGCCATACCAGGAGAGGTGGTCCCGCAGATACACTGGTTCCAGACCATTTAGGGCTTGAAATATATACACATACATATACGAATACATACATGCATATACATACATACAGGCCTCATTTCGGGCTGAAGTGGACCGGAGCACTGCTCCGGCAGTAAACAGGCCCGCTCTGCCCTGCCCCCTCCCAGGTCACCTGCGGCCCATCCAATGAGGTTGAAGAGGCACATCGAGTGGCCAAGCAGGGAGGTGGCCAGGCCCTTGGGCAGCGAGCCCCCCACAGCCAGCATGTTGTTCTTGGCCAGCAGTGTCTGGCGGCGGCCGAGCTGGAGCAGCTCCGTGCTCAGTGCCGCCAGCCCCGTCCTGCTCACATCCAACTCCTCCAGCCATGGGAACCAGTGCTCCAGGCCCAGTGGCAAGCCCCGCCCCAGCTCCCAGCAGGCTGGTGTGGGAAGCCAGTCTCAAGCGGCCCGGGTCTGGCAAGCAATCTGGGGGAGGCAGCGTGGGAGCCGGGGTGAGGCAGTCGGAGTGCCCGGCCGGAGCCTCATGGTGGGCAGAGCGGTGGCGCTCAGGGCATGATGGGGCAGCTCAGTTTGCAGAAGGTGCTGGATTTGCCAGATGCCAAGCGGTGCACCGAGCAGCCCCTCGACAGCCCTGACTCCAGCCTGACACCCAGCCCCACCAACTGGCTGCCCGCACCCGGCAGCGGCTCCAAGCGTGGACTCACCACCAACGGACTGCAGCAGGAGCCCCAGCCAGGGTGAGTTGAGGCGCGTGCAGCCCACAGGAGCTGGCTGCCCCCCCCGGGAGGGAGGCTACACCGAAGGACTTTATACTTAGAGGGAGCATTGGTGAAAACGGCAAGCTCCATCCAGCTGCTTTATATTCCTCACAAAGTTTGTGGCAAATCCTGTAATGGACTCTGCGAAGAAGCCAGTGACTTCTGAAAACATCCTCCCTTTATTAGATAAATGGATTCCAGTATTGCAAGCTGCAGAGGCTGTATGGTCTTTCAGTTAAAAGCAGCAAGCTGTGGATCAAAGGCACACAGTTGCTAAAGCCAATGACATTACTTAAAGCTGGCACATGTAATAGGAGCTGTTGGTGGCAGACAACAGTAAGGTCAGATATAATCACTTAGAAATATCAACAGCTGGACTCAAGCCAAGCGTCATCTTCATCAAACATGTCTTCTCACTATCACAAAGTAGAATTTTTGCTGACAGGACTCCATAGCTTAGAGGGAGCATTGGTGAAAATGGCAAGCTCCATCCAGTGAGCTGCTGTACCTTACTGGCCCCTACTAGTGTAAGTGAAAGAAAAATCAGCAGTGTACTCAATGCAATTGCATTAAAGAAGTCCAAATCCCTCATCATGTTACATACTGCAAGGGAACAATTACTGAGTCACAATGAGGATCCAGCCTATTTTATAGGTGCACAATTGCATATTCTCTTACAAAGACTCCAGTTCCAATAGAAACATAGTTTGTACCCCTTTGTTATATGTCAGGTTCAAGCCCCACGAGTTATGTGCTTCTGAACAACACTTGGCTGGCTCAAGGTCACCAAGTGACCTGCATGGCTCTGTGAGGATTTGCACCTGAAAGCAGGACTCTAACCATAAGGCCGCACTGCTGTCTCCTCTTCTCAGTATTCCGCCTCCACTCCATCTAGATTGGGAAGAAGACACTCCCCCCCCCTTTTGCCTAAGCCAGATGGTGATCCCTCCCTGCTGCTTTGTGGTTATCAGCCCCAATCTCATCTGAAGTGAAGGCTGTCAGTCTGAAAGCATCTAACTCCCCTTTCTGAACTTATCTCCTATTTCCCTTCCCCTGTCTTGGTGGAGGCTGCTGTGAGGAAAACCTTGTCAGTTTGATCAGCATAGATCTCCCCCTCCTTGCCAGTGATCACCAGCATCCGTGCACATACCTAGATTGTTGGATGTTCTACTCTTTGGGGTTTTAATGGCTAGTTTTTATTATTTTATCTTGTTTTATTTTGTGAGCTACCTGAAGAGATGGCATATAAATGTTTCAAATAGCTCTCAAATTTAGGATTGGAAATGGAAGGCAAGAAGAGGACAAATCTTCTCTTTCCTCATCTTCCTCCCCTTCCCCATAGCATTTCTTCATAAACTTCTACAATTAAGCCAGAAGATGGGGACACCCAAAGCAGGGAGATGACTGTACTGGTCAGGCAGGTTTGTAAGGTAGTAGACAGTCCTTTTAGAGGTAAAGAAATAAATGATAACTTGGTTAGGAAATAACATTTTGTTCTATTGCCTTTCTCTGCTTTCCAGTATGACTTGAGCTGGTTTAGTTGATTCCAGTTTAAGGGTGATGATGGTCACATTAAAAGGAAGCAGATTTTGCTTTGTATGATACCTGACAATACATGTTGTCAGTATTTCTCAAAACAGTCCTGCAAAGTATCTTAATATTGTCCTGTTCCCCATTGCAGTTGCAGGGCTGAGGCCAAATGCTCCTAGCTTGTCAAAGGACACATACTCAGTTCACTGCAAGCCAAAACCCATCTTTTGGGTGTGGAACAGCAGTCACTGGGGGTGTGCATAACTCATGCAGGCCTAGCTGCTTGCTACTGCTCAACAGCTGCTGCCCCATGAAGTGTTGTGTAGTGGTTAGTGTTCCAGACAAGGATTTGGGAGACCCAGGAGCCGCAGCCACCAGCTGGCCTGCCCGGCGCGCTCTCAGCCGGTGTGGCTGCAGAACCCTCCTTGCGCTGGCACCGCCTGTGCCGCTGCCCCCCCCCACCGCATGCGGTCCCGGCCATCCAGGGGAGGGGGCTGGGGTGGTCTCCAGGTCCTGCCGAGAGGTTGGCATCTGCGCTCGCCTAGAGCGCAGGACAACCTCGGGCCGGCCCTGTACACACATATATTCTGTGCTACTTTAGATTAACAATATCATTTAAAACAAATCTAGACAGAAAGATAGCAGATCTATGTCTTCAAATTAAACCCTTCTTTGGAATTCTCAGCATTTAACCCAAACCAGTGAAGTATATATTCCTATCTAAAGACACGAATGTCGTGTGAGTACCCTTCAGTAGAGGGAGCCAATTCTCACCTACAATAGAATGCAAATGTGGATTAGCTCCCTTCATTTTGAAATAAAAGGGAAAAACTGTTGACAGACAGGAAGCTGCATGTGTACACTGGAGCTCTTGCATCTAGGACAAATCTTTAATTAGGACACAGATTAATATATTGTTATTAATTTTAAATATATTAATATATCCCATATATTCCTAATAGTAACATAATAATATATCCTTTCCGCCCCCAAAGGCATACAATTGAGGGAGTAAAATGAAATAAAAATGATTTTACCTGTTACTGTAACCACTTCCAATGCACATCTAGAAGAAGTTTCAATACCACCACATAAAATAACTGCCCTGATCTTTTTATGTTTATTACTTATGCAGGATGCACAACATTCAAAATACTATCTATGCACTTTGGTTAGTAGAGTAAAAATACGAGATTTTAAATATATAGACAAATTACAACCATGACTAAGTGCTTCCTAGAGACAGGTGAACTTCCCACGTAGCCTGATCCCAAATTAATTTAGGAAAATTTGACAAACTGCTTGAGATTAAATTGAGTCCACCTGAACTAATTCTAGATTTGGCCTTAGCTGGAGGCCATTAGTTTTCTCTACCTGCCTGATAATCTTTGGACACATGCCAGGACCTAAACTATCAAAGCCTACTATGCCTTTACTAGCCTGCACTGGGGCTTCCCTACCAGTCCAAGGAGTACAATGACTGGGGGGGGGGGGAGCAGAAAAACCAGGTCTCAGTATTACTGGACCTCAAAAGCTCTCTGGCCCTCCTCCTAATGTAGATCAGATTTTCCTCCATCAGTTTCCTGGACAACTCTGATAGGTAGCAGGGACAACAGACAGGGCTCAAACCAGGGTGCAAAGGTCTCACAGTATTAACATTTGCCAAATACCAGATAATGCTGAGTGCCACGGCCTAGAACGACCTGGAAAGATCAAGGTCCTTTAATGGTTGAAAAACCCTATTTCAGAATCAGGAGATTTCATTTGCATGTCTAAAATGGGTCTACAAAATCTTGGACCCTCAGAGGGAAGCACAAACATCCAGTTAAAACTGGAATGCATTGGTAAATCTACTGTGAATCTTCTCACACCCAAGTACATACACTTCATCTCCGTCACAATGGGGTATAATACCCCAAGAAGGGAAAAGAAACCAAGCCTAAAGCCTTTAACACTTCCCAGCCTATAGGTCTGACAGGCAGAAGCTGGGAGAGTACTCCTTGGACACATCAGTAACTATCAGCTCTGCCTACTTATGATACTACAAATTACCTGCAAAATATTTGCACTGAAAAGATGGTTAGTCTTCCTAGATTTAACATCCAGCATTCTTCTGCACAACTGCATGAATGATATTTAGTTTGAGCCCTCAACCATTTTTTCAGGCTACTGGAAAAAAAAGTGTTCCAATACACCTACACAGAACCGTTAGTTTGGTATTTATTACCTCCCTCCCCATTCAATAACAAGTACAAATTCAGAAAGCAATCAGAAGGTCTCAGCCTCTGTGCGTTGGCTCACTAAAGGAACTGGTTGGCCGCTGTGTGCAACAGGATGCTGGACCAGATGGGTCACTGGTCTGATCCAGCAGGGCTCTTCTTATGTTCTTATTCAAGGAGGCAAAAATATGTTTTTATTATTATGAAACAATTTTTCATTCTTATAAAACTATGAAGAAGCCACTAATACACTGAAACCTCCTCTCTTATACTAACTAGGTCAGTTTCATTGGAATGCTTAAACAATTTGATTCTGAATAAACTGATTAAGTCAGATTGGTTTGCCCCAAAATTCTCACCTCTGCAATCATCCTGTTGGTGTCTCCTAAGAAAAGAAGGTTCAGTGCTTCTTCCTCATTGATTGCTTGATGCAAAGAGAGATGTTTCAGGTGAATGTTTTGATCAGGGTCTTCCATTATTGTCACCTTTCTGAAAGAAAAAGTCAAGGGAAGAGGTTGAGTGTGAAACATTTTTGGTATTTTGGCTACAAACTGTAAACCAGGCTTTATTCCAAATAGAAATGAATGCCATCAAACATATAGATAGCAACCTAAACTTGGAGGCAGCAAGTAAAATGTTCTTTGAATTAAAAATTACACGGTAAAGAAGTTCAAAGTTTAGCTGAGCCTTGTTGAAGACACAGGGGAGTGTCACATAGCACTCCAAGATAAGAGGGAGAAGAAAGAAGGCAGCAAAGGAACAACTTTAATAGAAAGCAACAGTTCAACTGCTAGGGTTGCCAGCCTCCAGGTGGGGACTCGGGATCTCCCACTTTTACAATTGATCTCCAGCTGACAGAGATCATCTCTCCAGGAGCCATGGATGCTAATATCAAACTAATATCAAAATAAAATAAAAAATAGAAATATCAAAGAACTACTGGTCAGGCTAAGGTGACAAATGGACCAGCTTTGATTACAAGGTTGGCCTTTGGAGAAATGGAACAACAGATTACAAGGTTGGCCTTTGGAGAAGTTAGGTAGGTCCATGACTATGCACTCACCATCATCATAATGCAAACAGGAAGCAAACAGAAGCAGAGAACATACAGGAAAAGGACAGTCTGGTGGTACTGAGCCTTTATAATGGTTGCATTCTTTTCTGATATCTTCACATACTTAATATCGAACGTCATACATCCTGTAGGCTTGGGGCAGCCACTACCAAGAATACTAAGGGAATATAGACCTGATTGTTAAGGCCTGAAAGAAAGTTGTATGGTTCTCAAGGCAGCTGGCACTGAGAGTTCTAAAGCTCAAATAGAAGGTTACTCATAGTGTCTTGGGGGCTGTGGTGGCTCAAGTGGTTAAGTCGCTGAGCTGCAGACCAGAAGGTCGGTAGTTCAGAAGTTCGAGACCCAAGTGCCGCATGATGGAGTGAGCGCCCGTCTCTGCCCCAGCTCCTACCAACCTAGCAGTTTAAAAGCAAGAAATTGCAAGTAGATAAATAGGTACCACTTCGGTGGGAAGATAACAGTGTTCCGTGCGCCTTGACGTTTAGTCATGCCGGCCACATGACCACAGAAATGTCTTTGGACAATGCTGGCTCTTCGGCTTGGAAACGGAGATGAGCACCGCATCCCTAGAGTCAGATTCGACTGGCTTTCGAGCAAGGGAAACCTTTACCTTTACATAGTGTCTTGGGGAATTGATAGGGCTCATCTTGACTTTGGGTGCTGAAGGCAGAAAAAAAGCCTTTGGATTTTAGAGTCTCTTGCTAGCTTTACAGCTTGGTGGATGCAGTTGAATAGTACAGTACAGCTTGGCTGTTTTATGAATAGTCCACTCATCTTTAAAGGAGTCTACAAATTCCATCTACTTAGCCAAATGGAAAACATTCTTTGTTTATAGAGAAAACAAAAATCTTGCTTCTACCTCCTCTCAATCATTATGAGTAAATGAGCAGTACTTTTCCATATCAAGATCCAAATTACGATTAATTCTTATGTTATTTTTACATGTCTACCTGTACCATAGAAATGGGAACAGAATACCTATATCAAAATGAAGCTCCTGTTAATGGAGGAATAATGAGAAGTAAAATATTTCAAAATATCTATGGCTTCCACCCACTTGGTGACAGGGCTGCTATTTGGTATAGGAGACTATTTACTTTCTAACCAAATCAATTGCTATTTCTGCCACTGTAGAAGGGGATGTGTTTCGGCAAAAGAGACCTCCCGAATATTAATAATAACAATAATTTAGAAATAATTTAGGAGATTTACAAACAAAATCAGAGAGTAATTTTACTGAGCACTATCAAGTTGACATTCCTGTTCATAGACTCAATGTTTTGTCTTTTTCATTATTTTAATATAGTATACTCAAAGAAACATATGTGAAAGAAAAAATGGGACACAAATATAATGCAACAGTATCACCAAAGCTGATACCTGCATTATGTACAGAAAAAGCCACTAGTTGCCCTTGTGCTCCCAGTGAATAGGCTGTAGCCCAGTTTAGTGATTACTTTGCTCTGTCAAAATCCCTATCTTTCTTGGAACACCTTTGTAATCCCTGAAGTTTCCACTTTATCTGCCATTCTATTAACCTCAATCTGTGGGTGGCTGCTTCTAGCATCGTGGTACCCCCTACTCCCATTCTCTGCCTCTCCACATCACTCCATCCTTTGCATGGCTTCCTTTGGAACTGCCACTCCCTCACCCAGAAAGGAGTCACCTGTGTGATCTTTTCCTCTCTTGATCTCTAGCCTCCATGATTCAATTCTAAATCAGTTCTCTTCTGACCGAATTACTTATTTAACTTTTCCACACAGAAAAGCTCATTTTGTCCTTTCTCCCTCTCCTGTAGAGTCCCAAGGGGATTTGTTCTTGGTCTCTGCTAATTTAACAAAATGTCATGGTGCTCAGAACGACCTTTCTGTCCCACATTTAACCCAAGATCCAGCCTCAAATCTCTGTCTACATTTTCATATAGTCTCTACTCAATCTGTCCAGAGCTGAACTTCTAATCTTCAATCATAGAATCATAGAGTTGGAAGGGGCCATATAGACCATCCGGTCCAACCCCCTGCCCAATGCAGGACCAGCCTAAAGCATCTCTGGCAAATATTCGTCCAGCCTCTTCTTGACAGCTGTCAGTGAAGGGGAGCTAACCACCTCTCTAGGCAGCTAATTCCACCTTTGAACTACTCTGACCCTGAAAAAGTTTTTCCTAATATCCAGCCGATCCCTTTCTGCATGTAATTTAAACCCGTTGCTTCGTTGCTGCCAACTGAGATTCACAAGTTCACATTTGAATTCTTTTAGAACTTTTGGATTTATGCCATCTGGGCCTGGTGATTTGTCAGATTTTAATTTGTCCATCAATCATAGGACTTCCTCTCTCACCACCTCAATCCAACTCAGGTCTTTCAACACCCCTCCAGAAATTGGCAGTTCTGGAGTGGGCAAGCACCTCCCATCTTCCACAGTGAAGACAGAGGCAAAAGATGCATTCAGCTTCTCTGCCATTTCCCTATCATCCTTTAGTAATTCTTTTACCCCTGGGTCATCCCCTGGCTGGTTTTCTGCTCCTAATGTATTTGAAGACATTTTTATTGTTGGTCTTATGTTTTTTGAAATATGTTTCCCATAGTCCCTTTTTGCCTGTCTGATCACCAACTTGCATTTTATTTGCCACAGCCTGTGCTCCCTTTTATCAACCTCACTCGGACTAGACTTCCACTGCTTAAAGGAATCGTTCTTACCTCTTACAGCTTCCATTACTTTATTCATTAACCATGCAGGCCTTTTTTTATACCTATTTGTACTTTTCCTAACTGGTGGTATACACTTATATGAGCTTCTAGGATTCTAGTTTTAAATAGTCTCCATGCTTCTGGAAGGGATTTGACTCTAGACTCTAGTGCCACGTGACAGAGTGAGCTCCCGTCTCTGCCCCAGCTCCTGCCAACCTAGCAGTTCAAAAGCAAGAAACTGCAAGTAGATAAATAGGTAACACTTTGGTGGGAAGGTAACAGCATTCCATGTGCCTCGGCATTTAGTAATGCCGGCCACATGACCACAGAAACGTCTTCGGACAGTGCTGGCTCTTCAGCTTGGTAACAGAGATGAGCACCGCCCCCTAGAGTCGGATTCGACTGGTTTTCGAGGAAGGAAAACCTTTACCGTTTACCTTTACCTTTCCTTTCAGTTTCTTCTTCACAAGCCCCTGCATTTGAGAGAAATTGCCCCTTCTAAAGTTAAAAGTGGTTGTGCTGGTCTTTTTGGGCAACTCCCTGTTTACATAAATGTTGAACTTAATATCATTATTTTCACTGTTCCTGACCAGCACTATCACATTTACATGTCTCACCAGGTCTTGGGCATCACTTAGGACCAAGTCTAGGATTGCCTCTCCCCTGGTAGGTTCTGTGTAAAAAAAATCACGGCTAACCATGCTTAGCTTCCAAGATCTGATGAGATCAGGCTAGCTGGGGCCATCAAGACATGTGCCAAAGTTAAGCAATACAATTTAGAACTATTTTGAGCATTTATTTCATATCACAAGTGCTGCAATATTTGCAAACCTTAAAGGTAAAGGTTTCCCTTGCTCAAAAACCAGTCGAATCCAACTCATCTCCATTTCCAAGCCTAAGAGCCAGCGCTGTCCAAAGACATTTCCATCGTCATGTGGCCGCATGACTCAACGCCGAGGTGCACAGAATGCTGTTACCTTCCCACCGATGTGATACCTATTTATCTACTTGCAATTTCTTGCTTTCGAACTGCTAGGTTGGCAGGAGCTGGAACTAGAGACAGGAGCTCACCCTGTCTTGCGGCACCCGGGTCTTGAACCGCTGAACTACTGACCTTCCACAGCCTGCAGTTCAGCGTCTTAACCACTTGAGCCACCGCAGCTCCTAGCACATTGAATACAAAGGTAGAAAAACACACACACAGCAGTTCTATAAATCCTAATTTCTACTAACTCCTAACTAAAGCATATGTTACTCGTCTAAAGGCAGATGGGGATGGTAAGGAGGAAGTAAATCCACAAGCCTGTCTAAGTGAGTGGAGTACAGAAATGTTCATCAGAAGAAAGGAAAGAACAGCATTGGAGGGAGTGAAATAGGAACAGGAGCATGGTCTTCAGGGGTACCTGTACTGGATAGCAGAGCTAATGCAGATTCACACACACTTTCCCACTATGTGCTCCCACAAGGGGGTTTGGAGTCAATTGCCGGATCTCAGTACTGAGATGGGATCCAGTGGCTGGAACAAAGTGCTGGGGTCCCCCTGGCTATCTTTATATCCAAAAAAAGTGTTAAGACAGCAGGGGAAATATAAGCTCACAGTGAGCTAAAGCTGGCCAGGGAGCTCGCTACAAGAAGAAAATCTTCTTCAGATATGTGAGGAGAAAACGCAAGATAAAAGAGGCAATGGGCCCACTGTTGGGTGAAAATGGAGAAACTCTGACAGAGGACAGAGAGAAAGCAGAAAAGCTCAATGCCTATTTTGCCTCAGTTTCCCCTCCCCCCCCCCCGAAAAAGAGAACAGGCTTATCTAGATATAGTAGTAGGCAAGGCACGGCGTCCCGGCTGCTGGTTGACATGGACAGAGAGGTAGTTGAGAAGCACCTGGTTACATTGAATGAGTACAAATCTCCCAGGCCAGATGGTATGCACCCAAGAGTGTTCAAAGAACTTTCTAGAGAGCTTGCAGAGCCTTTGTCCATCATCTTCCAGACCTCTTGGATGACAGGAGATATGCCACAAGACTGGAGGAGGGCAGATGTTATCCCAATTTTCAAAAAAGGGAGGAGGGATAACCCAGGAAACTACAGGACAGTCTGTCTGACATCTGTCCCAGGGAAGATACTGGAACAGATTTTAAAGTGATCAGTCTGCGAGCATCTAAAGAACAACTTGGTGATCCGGGGAAGTCGGCATGAATTTGTCCCCAACAGGTCCTGCCAGACCAACCTCATTTCCTTCTTTGATTAAGTAACGAGCTCTGAACCCTGCTTAAGAGGGATGTTGGAAAGCAGCCAGGGATTCCTTCTGAGATGAGAGGGTTCCCTCCTTAGCTTCTGAGCAGGGCTTCTCTTGTTTGCTCAAGGGCTGGCTGCCTGAGCAGGGAATGAGGGTGGCCTGTCAGGCACAAGGCTGAAAGCATCACAAAGCCTACTTTCAATCTCTGTTTAAGAAAAACATATAGTTATTTTGAATATCTATTGATCATTATATGTTTGATTATATGCCACTACACAGAATTTAGACTCCTGAATACTGTACGCAAAACTGCTGTGTCACTGTACAACAAAAACAAAGAGTTCTCTATAAATGCAGGCCTCTTATCATCCACAGTCCCTATTAAATGGAAATCTCAACAGATATTTCCCATTAGATGAATTTGGTCTTTTTGATACAATGCAATGCTATACTGTCATCTAAAATGGAGGGGGGGGCATAAATTTCTCATACAGAATAAAGCAGGCCCATAGCTACAGTGGAGCATCTTGGGGCCCGCCCCCCCAACTTACTGCCAAGGCCCCCCAACTTCCCATCCAGCCCAGGTGCTCCCTTGGGGGGCGCAGGGGGGTGTAGGGTGCCCCCTGACTTATTTAAAGCCCCCCTGTATTAAAACATCTTGGCTACAGCCCTGGAATAAAGTGTAAATCCAATGACATAGGTGAATACAATAGGTTATCTATTGCAGGTTAAAATATCCATGTGGTTTTCGTTTTGTTTTTAAGAGTAAGAAAAAGGAGGCTTGCTGATGTTAAAAATCTATTTACTCACGGTAAATCTTCTAATCTGGAGGCTTCGTGTCTTGGGTCCAGTAGATCATAACCACACTCATTATAAATTTCTAAGTAGGAAATGAGTGTTGTATATACTTTGCTGCTGTCCTGAATTAAAAGAAAAACATAAAAGAAAAACAAAAAGATCTATAAATATTTGTCTAAAACCCCAAGGTACATTGGCAGTACAACTTTTGTGACTACTTCTCTTTACTGCATCTCATTAATTGGACACATTTTCAATTTGAGCTAAATATGAATCTTGTCTCTTTTGCTGGAATAAGCAGGAGCTGTTCCATCTGAAAGCTGAAAGGGAAGCTAATAGACTGTGTTCCCTATGGAGAATGTGCAAACTTTCACCTGGGAAAGCCCCACACGAAAGCGCATTTCACACTGACACTGCATGGGAAATAGCACCACTTATCCCCCCTTTAGCAAGGCATCAAAATATTCATCGTATCAGTCATTAAACCCACCAATCACTACCCTCCTTGCAGACTAATCAGCATGTCTAGCAAATCTGGCAAATCACAATAAAGGACAGAACAATGCCCTGGTTAACAGGTCTGGAAGAAAAGGATCATGCATCAATATAGACAAAAAGAAGCAACAACCAGACAGCTATATAATTGAGTGGTACTTCACAACTTGAACAACCAAGAGCAAAGGATAAGATGCTGACTAAGAGGAAAAATAGGACCAAAGGGTAAAATTGCTAGGAAATTAAATGGAGGCTGACGTTCATCCACCAAAGCAGCCCGAACCTATCTTTATGGACATATTTTCAAATACATTTGCCCCATTAGATATACGTACATAGACATCTCAAAAACATACCTATAACATGTTAGCTTGGATACTAAATTATACCACATACTATTATTCACCAAAGCACATTACTATAACACAGGGCCGGTGCCAGGTTTTCTTGCACACTAGGCGAGGCTACCTTCTGCCCCCCCCCCCTGCGCCCACCAATTTTCAAACATAAATGCATTTTAGGAAGAATGAAAAACACAAAATTTGAAATTGCTGATTTCTTTTTTTTAATAGTGAGAAAAACAGGTTGCTTACCTGTAACTGATGATCTTCGAGTGGTCATCTGTGCAGTACCACACATGTGGTTGGGTGCCTGCATATGACCTCGACCGAAGAATATTCCAGAGCTTGCCTCAGGAGTCTTTTTGGCGGGCTCTTTTCCCACCCTGGAGCGGGGGAGAGAGTCGCCTCCCACTCAGTTCCTTCGAATGCTACCGGCAGGGGTCGTTTCGTAGAAAAAGAGCTAGTGGAACTCATTAGCATAACTCATTAGCATATGCCACACCCCCTGACATCATCGGAAGTGTGTCATAAGGCCACACACCCTGACATCACCGGAAGTCTGTCATAAGGCCGGGATGGGGAGAGGCAGGGAGGAAGCAACTTACCCTCCCTTTTCTCCTGCCTCCTCCTGGCTGAATGAGGGCCGGAAGCAGGGTGGCCAAAAGCAAGGGGGCGGGGGCTTCGTCATGAGCCCCGCCCCCGTACCTCACCCGGGGGAACTGCGATCCCCCGCAATCCCCCCGAAATGATCTCTGGCTACCGGTAAGTCCCACCAACTAAGGTAAGTGATCAGGAGATGCCAGCAGTGGGGAAGGCTGGGTGGGATTGTGGTACTGCACAGATGATCACTCGAAGATCATCAGTTACAGGTAAGCAACCTGTTTATTTTCGTCGTGGTCTCTGTGCAGTCCCACACCCCTTAGTCGTCGTTTCTCCAAGCTAAAGAGCCCCAAGCGTGTAATGATTTCATGTTTTGGTGTGTGTGTTTCTTTAAATGCTTAGTTTGACTGCAGGACTGTAAGAAGAGTGATAGAGGGAGACAAGTGTGATGTGATTGGCGGATGACTGAGAGCGTGGGAGGAGGGGTGTCTATGAGAGTGATTCTGTGTGTGAAGTTTGAAGAGAGAGCATAGTTTTTGAGCCTATTCTGTGTGAATAAGACAAACAGTTTAGTCTGTGTGAATATGAGTTTTGAGTCTATTCTGTGTGAATAAAACAAAGAGATGAGAGAGTGAGATTAGACTGTCTACGCCTGTCAGAGTGGAGTTTTGGGAGTTTGAGAGACTGTTTGTGACACCAAGCTTTGCCAGTTATATTTACAAGTTCCTTTCATTAGCAACAGTTCAAAATAACCAGAAACCTATTTTGTTCTTTATTAAATAAATCATTTTTTGTTTAAACTTATCCCACAAATCAGAATAGTCCTTCCTCACGGCTACATAGTCCTCTGATGTGCCTAGACCCTAGGTCATTCTACTAAAAGAGAGAGATTTGGAATTTTTAGCAGCAGAAATCTACCAAGTTTAGGTACACAGAGAGTGTTTTAAAGGTAAAACTGTCTCCCCAATAAGCAAGGATGCCACACATGGTATCAAGTCACTCAGTGGTTCCTGCCAGGACTGGCCCTGACTAGTCCTCCCTCAAAGGCCAAAACAATCCTGGAAAGGGTTTCTGTCCCTCTCCCTGCCTTTTACTGACCAAAATCAAGGCTTGAAGGCTGGCAATAGTGTCATGGTTGCCTAGCAACAGACATGGAGTACATCTGTTTCTTAAAGATACAGGCACTCCTTTTACCATTTTTTAAAATTCATCATTTTTTTTTCATAACTTGGGCATTTTTCAGATTTGTAGAAAGATCTGTCCTGTCTGTTCATTGCTCCAGTCTCCAGATTTAAGTATCCACAAATGGGGCCATGTTGCGAATTAGATATACTGACATGGGTCATCTGACCCAAATTCAATGTTTTAGGGAAGATAATTTTTTCCTGCTTCCACACTGCCTTGTGGTACATTTGTGCACCTCCACAGATTTCCCAGGCTTTTAACCAACCTTTCTCAAACCTGTTTTGTGAAATTTTAGGAAAGATCATGGTAAACCTAGATGGCTGCCATGTGAGTGGGAAAATCTGGATTTTCCCGCCCACATGGCAACCATTTTCTCTGACCCTGTCTTCGCAGCAGTCATTTCCTCCCCCCTCCACCTTGAGGTTTATTATTTTTTAAAAAAAATCAGCACTAAAATATTATTAGGTCAATACACTTGTAATAATAGGTGCAGCAGGTTCTCTGAATTCTCGGTTTTCGTTTTTTTAAAAAAATAAGTCTCTATATCCTTTCCTTGCTGAGATATAAAGGAAAACATATATCTTTGCAACCAAAAAATGAATTAGTGATGCAGACAGCCTGCTTCACCTACAGTTACAATGGTATTCTAGTGCCAACTTAATGATATTCTAGTGCCTATTTTTAAGAAATTGCAAACGTCATGGTAGCCCAGGGGAGGGGGGTAGCCTCTGGTGGGAGATCAGGGCAGGGAGACTGAGAAAACATGCCATGTGGAAATCCTGCTACTGCTGTGCTTTATTTGCAGCTGTAGTACCAGCAACAAGGAAACCACAAAATCCTGTCCTTGTGTGCAAGACTCCTAAGATTGGTCAGAGAGAACAATGCAGAGCTCTTAACAATCACTTGAGCCCCTTTAAAGCTTCCACTTTGATATAGGCTTTAATGAGGTATAGGTCATTCAAGGATGATAAACATGTTTCTGTAAATTTACATAAACCAGGTTTCCTAGTAAAAAGAGATTTTATCAACAGAATAAAATGGAATCCTCTTGCTAATGAAATATTCCATCAGTAAAGAATTATCTGTAATCTAGGCTTAAATTCTGGCAGGTACATATCATAAATTAGAGAAACATTTGCCTACTTGAAACAGAATTCTCACATTTTAACCAAACATTAAACAAACCAATAAATCTTAATTCAGTGGCAATTTGACTAGATTAGGCAATGAGGGTAGAAGAAAATACAAAGATTTGAACTTGGAAAAGCATAAAACTTTTCCTTTTGGCTTTGCCTCAAAAGGTAATGAAGTGATAGAAGTGATATTTCAAAATGTAAATAAAATTTCATTTTCTGTTCTGTGGAATATGATGGCAAGATTACCGAAGGCCTTTCATTTCCTGCTGCACAAAAGTATTGAACTGCCAGGCTGTCTTAGAGGCTTGACTTGAGTATGTACCCCCTCTTCAATGTATCTGCTCACAACTAGTAAAATAAAATCTCATTATATTTGGTTTTGCATGACCAGTAAGATTCTTCACTCCCTCCAGTTCTCACCTCATCAGAAGAAAGCATAATATCAAGTTCTCTGACCTTGTGTTCAGTTTTCTACCAAAAACGTTTCTATCAACAATAATTGGATTTTAAAGCTGATAGGACCAGACCAGATACACCCCGAACCATGTTTGAGAGCTCATTACTTGGGCTAGGGTTGCCAGCCTCCAGGTGGGGCCTGGGGATCTCCTGCTTGTACAACTGATCTCCAGCTGACAGAGATCAGTCCCCATGGAGAAAATGGCTGCTTTAAAGGGTGGGCTCAATGGCATTGTACCATGCTAAGGCCCCTGCCCTCCCCAAACCCCGCCCTCTCCTGGATCCACCCCCAAAGACCTGGCAACCCTAACTTGGGCTCAGGACTGCATGCTTCCTTCTGAAGAGCATGTTCATCCCTCCTGCTGTAACTGTAGTTAAGCATTATGACAAGTTTAACTATTAATCTGACTAACCTGGGATGATTACGGCTAACATTAGTGCTGACATAATGGTTTACCATGAATAAAGAGGGAGGTATGGAGAGAGCTGTTCACAATCTCTGAAAAGCACATCTGTGCTAGCCAGTGAAATAAAAAGGCATTCCTGTACCAGAGACAGTGCTTTTCTAGAACCAGGTGCCAAGAACATATCTACACATTAGCTTTTTTGAGTCACTGAAAATGTATGATGCTTTAGATACAGCCTTATACTTCACACATATGTACTTACTTCCTTTTGATAATTTCATAACTGTGGTGAGTTTCACCATTGCTACAGAAGTAAATGGTACAACTATGAAAGTCAGAGATAATCATCAAGAGGAAGAGCACTGAATCTATGGTAATGTGGTAATCTGACTGCTTCCTTGTGCCATCCGACAACTCATTTTTGAAACCTTGCCATGACTCTGCCATGAGTTCAACAATAATAATTCATTTAATATCCACATCGCCCACTTTCAAATTGTAG